CCAACAATCCGGGTCCTCATTTTACCCACCTCGGAAGGATGGAAGGCTGAGTCAACCTTGAGCCGGTGAGATTTGAACAGCCGAACTGCAGAACTGCAGCCAGCTGAAGTAGCCTGCAGTGCTGCATTTAACCACTGCGCCACCTTGGCTCTTGGCTACTTGTAGAACTCAGTGCAATAAAAAGGGGAAAAAGCAAGACATCCACAAGCATCCAAAGTTGGCTTCATTAAATCTGTTTCTTCAATCTAACCAATTGCAGAAATTACAAAACTCTTCATTACTCTCTTTATGTAGCTATAATTGTGATTGCTGATTCTCCAAATGGCTACAAATGATTATCTCAAAAACACAAAATAGTCACAAAACCTATACATTAACTTAAAAATGTTGCTATGGGGCAATTTAAAGTGGTCTGCAGTAGTTTCGTAAGTTATATAAATGTCTACAAAGAAAAAAGGAAACATGGATACCTAAAGTTTCCTGGAAGATTTGGGAATAAGGGTGTGTCTTTTTGTTCCTCGTATTCAAGGTCTCAAGTATGTCCGTATGCAGATCTGAGGTTAATGGAAGTCTACTCTTTTTTTTTTTTCATTTTATACTTCTGCATCTTTCTCCCTTTGCTAACTCAGTATGGATACCTTATTTAATATGACTCCGAAAGGACTCATATTTATCGTATCAATAAGAATGCATGGTAGTTGTTTGAAATGAGCCGAGAATGCCATCTATTCAAAGTCACAGAGAATGACTTGTATCTGCTCGTGAAATCTGGAGTCCGGTAACCCTTGCAACTGCAGTCATCCCCACATGTGGCCTCCAGGGACAACAGGAGGAGGACGGATAATAAACAGCGCCTTGCCTGTTCTATATTTGTCGTCAAGGCTTCTATGAAATCAAAGCAAGCCTTCCTTGGCATTTGCCAAGGAGAGAAAGTGGAACAGACGTCAGAGCACTGCTATCCACCCGGCTGCTGGTAACGTTCATACAGGGCCGTGTTGAAGAAATCTGCCTCCCCTCCCCCCCAAATCCCTTTGTGGCACACCTGGATCCTTTAGGAATCCTACATGACTGGCAAACGCCATGCCCCTGAGCTTGCCAAGGAGACGGAAGCCTTGATCTAATTTACCTGCACAGCACTGTTTTTCTGCTGTGGCCTAAGGAGATTCGCAATGCTTTTGAAGTACAGGTAGTCCTCAACGTATGACCACAACTCAGCACAAAATTTATGTTGCTAAGTGAGAAATGTGTTAAGCAAGTCTTGCCCCATTTTACTTTTTTTTCCTTGCCACATTTGTTAAGTGAATCACTGGAGTTGTTAAAATAGTAACACGGATGTTACGTGAATCTGGTCTCCTAACTGACTTTGCTTCTCAGAAGGTTGCAGAAGGTCCGGGGACATTGCAGATCATCATAAATGTGAATCAGTTCTCAAGCATCAAAGTCTAAATCATGTGACCATGAGGGATGCCGCAACGGCCGTAAGTGTGAAAAATAGTCATAAGTAACTTTTTTCAGTGCTGTTGTAACTTTGAACGGCCACTAAGTGAACTGTTGTAAGTTGAGGACTACCTGTACACTGTTGTCAGTGTTCAGAAACAAGGGCTAGCAGTCAGCCCTTTTCATTACAAGGTGCTTTGGAACATCAGTAAGATAAAGGTAAATATTCCCCTCGCACATATGTGCTTGTCGTTCCTGACTCTAGGTGGCGGTGCTCATCTCCATTTCAAAGCCGAAGAGCCAGCGCTGCCTGAAGACGTCTCCGTGGCTATGTGGCTGGCATGGCTAAACACCAAAGGCGCAAGGAAAGCTGTTACCTTCCCACCAAAGGTGGTCCCTATTTTTCTACTTGCATTTTTACCTGCTTTCGAACTGCTAGGTTGGCAGAAGCTGAGACAAGTAACGGGAGCTCACTCTGTTACGCAGCACTAGGGATTCGAACCGCTGAATTGCCAACCTTTCTGATCGACAAGCTCAGCATCTTAGCCACTGAGTCACCTTCGAATATCACTGTGATTCCTGATTTTATTTTTATGGAAGGAACAGTATAAAATAAAAACACCTTATAGCAAAGGTGGGAACCGTCCATTATCTCCTTCCCCTGGCATCCAAGCTGGAGAGGCTGAGAAGAGCAGCTGAATAACACCTGGAAGATTGCAAGTTCTCCACTTCCAAAGTGAGGCCTCTTGAGGGACACTGCAAATGTATTTGTTATGTAGATATGTCTGCAAAGACATACATGCCTTCTCTGATCCTCCAGCTGGAAAGGTCTGCCTTGTTCTAAGGGGAGGGGAGATTTAAAACCATGGAGAGCAACCACTGTACTAGGCCCTGTGTTCTTTCTACACCCTCCCTACAAAAATCCCAGGCTTATACTTGTTATACCAGCAGGAATAACATTTGGACAAGGCTTCTCTGTAGTCACCGAATGTCACAAGTGGAAGCTGATGTACAGACATGGGACTGTATTCCAGTGACTCTTAGCTGTTCTCCCCGCAATCCTGAAAAGCCAACTTCCCCAACACAGGAGGAGAGGCTTCTCCATAGAATGTCTTAGATCAGGGGTGTCAAACCCGTGGCCCACAGGCCGGATGCGTCACATGCTGGCCACGCCCAGTTTAGTGAAGGGGAAAGAATGTTGCGATATGTCATGTGACAACGCCGTGAGGATGCGAGTTTGACATCCCTGACTTAGATAAAAGACAGACAGCAAACTTCAAGCTTAAAAGGTCTGCCTGGTTTTCTGTGTGAACATCAAGAATATAAACCAGTGGCTGAAAAGCCAGATATATCATTATGATTCCAGAACTGGGTATTTTCCGAGTACATTTAGCAGTTCAAGAATTTGTTTCAGTACAACAGTAACGCTCACAGGTTCCTTCCTCCCCTCCCCAATCCACCCGCACCCACAACCCCACTCCTAGTTCCCCAATTTTCCCAGGCATTTTTGTACTTCAGTGACCTAATATAGGCGGAAGAAGTGTGTTTTATTTGTTGTTCTTGTGAGTCAGACATCCTTGCTATCAGCCAAACTCCTCTCTGGAGGTCTTCCAAACATATCACCGCTATCATAAGAAAGTATGTTTCACTAAAAGGCAAAGGAAAGGGACCACATACATTATCTTAATGTCTCTGGGGGTAGATTACAAGGGTGCTAAATGCTATGACCATGATAGTTAAAAGAATATTTGCAGAGGTTTTTAACTGTCCAATATTCTTCTGCATTCTAAGTCTGGTTTAGCAGAAAGCAGTGACTGACTAGATCCCAAGTCTAGCACCTTCCCTAGCCAGGTGTCAGCCAAGGGCAACTTTTCAATTTGAACCCATTCTGTTTCAGGAGGATTGTGGCAGCCTGCCGCTGTAAACATCCGACTGAAAGCCTCTTTGAGCCTGCACAGCTTCCAGTCAAGGATGTTTACAGGGGCAGCAACTGCCCGGATAGATTCACAATGGGACTCTTCCAGGATGATGGATTCCTTGGGGCAAAAAAATCATGGTATTTGCACGTGTTAGCTGATTCCATGTCAAATGTGCTGGAAGACCTGGAGTTTTAAGGAAGACGGTGGCTCCCCCTCAGCATAATTCTCAGTTCAAGCAGGAACAGACTAAGTTACCTTTATAACTTTCTGGCTACCATCTGTTCATTCAACTGGCTAAGGTTTTTTTGACCAAGCAAAATACAAAAGTTCCAAGTGGCTAATTGGAAAATGTGTCCTGTTTCTATGCACAAGGCAGAAACCTGTGACATCATGCACAGGCTATTACTTATGTAACAGAAACCTGCTGGGTAGACAACCAAGTTGTGAGCCCAAGGCAGGGAGGGCACACACTGTGTTGCAAATTTATCCTCAAGCTGCTAAATGCTTTACACAATTCCTAAAACATTCAATTATCTGAAAAGTCAAAAGCAGCAGCAATACAGCGTTACATTGAGATGAGAGCAAAATAAATAAATAAATGAAGGATTCTGGAGAAGAAACTATATTAAATTCAACTGGCAGACTAAACATAATCATGCTTGCTATATACACACATCTGAAAAGTGGAGGACTGCCAAAGCTGGAGGAATAAGCTGTTCCATTCCCAAGACCGAATGTAAAGATTGGCAGGCATTCAGGGCAGCTGAAGTTCAAACTGTATTCAACAAGCTGAAGTCCAACTGAATCCTGCATATAAATCTGGGCACTGTACAATCCTGACTTGAATAAAGCTAGTAACATATTTGGCAGCTCTGCAGGTGACTAGCCAAGGGCATGGCTAAAATTGCCCTCTAGAGCCGTGATGGCGAACCTATGGCACACGTGCCACAGGTGGCAGGCGGAGCCATATTCGCTGCCGCACCAGCCATCATCTCCGGTGCACATGCGCACGGCAGCCAGCTGATTTTCAGCCTTCCAGAAGGCCGGGGATGCTGTTTTCCCCCTCCCCAGGCTCCAGAGGGGTTATGCGCACATGTGCAGGTGGATCATGTGTGTATGCACAGGTGAGTGGGGAGGATTAAATTGGTGTGGGCACACATAATTGTGGCATGCGATACGAAAAAGGTTTGCCCTCACTGCTCTAAAGTCTAGACTCTACAAACCCTCATGGGAAATTAAGACTTTTATACTACAATGAACTCCACATATACCCAGAAGCCCATTTCACTGGTTTGCTGAAGCTGAACCCTAATCTAATCTATCAGACTGCAGAGCAACAGAGAAGGAACACAAGGCTGCCTTCAAAGCTTCAGAGGAGCCAGGTTCAGTGGCTTTCAGAAGACGGATAACTGAAAAGGAAGCAGGTTTACATCCCTTTGCAGCTGATGGACCCAAAAATTGGAGTTCTTCCTGTTTGAACTGCTTCTATTTTAGTTGGCCAGAAGACAATGGTCTATGACCATCGATGTTAGTTTCACTGCAAGGACCTTCTATTGATATTTGCATTTTTTTTTCTTGCAAGCTGTCTTTTTATATTGCAAATCTAAGACAAATCTAAGATTTACTGGGTCTATGATTTGCTCCAGGGGGCTTTTGTCTGAGGAATAAGATATAAATCCACTTAATGTCCCATAATATGGTACAGGAAAAAAATGGAACCTGAGTACTATCAGACAGGAATTTAGCTTGGTTTACACAAAATATTTGTACATCTTAGGAAAAGAAAGAACTTTTCAAACACGTAGAACAGACTTCACATTCTTTTCCATGGATAAAATTACATTTTGGTCTGTGCTGATCTGTTTCCTCAAGTTTTAATCAAGAAGAAAAGCTTTTTCTCTCTCTCGTTAATTTCCACTGACCATGATAACATCACAAAGTTACAGTTAATCTGATTTTGGCATGTTACATCATCAAGAAGGGCAAACAAAGCATGTTTCTTCTGGACTGATCAGATCCGTGTTGCAGACATATAAAGAGAACACACACGCACAGATTCTCTTTTGCCCTCACCTGCCGTTTTGGAGGTTTAAGTTCATCCCTTGGAACGATGTCAATGAGAAAGTCGAACTGATCAAACTTCGTGATGGCCATAGCAATATCATTTCTCTGTAACAAAAAAGGAAACACAAGTAACATCTGGTTTCTGTAACTCTAGCTGAACGAACACTGTTGACACTGGCTTTAATCAGCTTAACCGGAAAGGCAGAGAGAACAATAGGTGATGAAGATGATGACATAAACTCTTAACAACCTGAAGATACACTAAAACATTTGACAGGAAAACTTTCCAGCTCCCTTTTTGACATTTTTCTTGTATTGCTCTGCAAGATCAAGCAATACAAATGCTTTGCATTATGCAAAGTTACTTAATCCCAAAGATATGAAACGTTTTCAGTTGCATTCAGTACAAGTAGTCCTAAACTTGCGACTGGTTGCTTAATCACTGCAGTCATGACAGACCTCCCTAGAGGTATTTAAAGTCCTGAAGTTGTGAAGGCAGCTTTCCCCATGATCATGTGACCATATTTCGGGCACTTGATTCGCATTTTACAGCCGTTTGCAAGGTCCCACCGTCCCACAGTTGCTTTTTACAATTTTTTTTGTTGAAAACTGACATTTACTTGCAGTTTTCGGCAAAATCGGCCATAGAGAAAAATTGGTTTGCTTAACATTTATGGTAATCTCTTAACTATTGGAAAAAAGGTAATTTAAACCAAAACAAAGCAGGTGGATGATGTGGATTACCCTCTTTATGACCATCATAACCTACAGCTGCAATGGGCAGGATGGAGGACTACTTGTTTCACATGGCTGTTGCTTGTTTGTTTGTTTGTAAAACTTATAGGCTGCCTACCTTACCTCAAAGTGACTCTGGGTAATTTAAAAACCCTGGTTTTTTCTACAGCATGCTGGACCATTTATACTTGATCTAGAACTGGAGGCGTGAAGGCTCTCCCATGGCAAAGGGGAGAGCAACCTGCCCTCATGTCTATGGAGATTCTCAGTCATCCAGGTCATGGTTGTCGTAAATGTGCTTTTTCAAGAGACAACTGGACTTTCTGGAAAGTCCAGTTGCCTTTTGAAAAAGCATCTTTGGGACAACCTGCCCTCATCCATTAGCCAGAGCAAGAAAGGTTTGCAGAGAGTTCACATTACCCTTTCTAGTCAGACTCAACAACTATTTCAAAATTAAACAAGCTGACTCCACGTAATGGCCAAGAAGGCATTTCTGCTCCAATACTGCCGTCTTCTTCCTGCTGCCTGTGTGTTGTGGCCAGCTACTATTTTGCAAGACAGCATGGACCACTTCAAGCATTGGAATTCTTTGCTCTCAACTGTAATTAATTCATCTTCAAGCCTGTTAATACAATTTCTATGCAGTTCTCATTTCGAGCATGATAAACTGTGCTGTCAGTCTTCAACAAACAGGCTATTGTACCACAAACGGGGGGGCTAAGATAGCGCACCCTTGTTCTATTCCAAAATACCAATACTTGTGGTTGCAAACACCTCTTGAGAAAGGCAAAAGATGGGAACAGGGGACATTTGAATGCCCTCTGCTAATACCCAAAGTCATGATACAATATCAATCTTACCCACTTCAGAGGTAGGAGAAAGCAAGGTTTTCCTAAGTGTGTGGCATAAAACAGACCAATATTCTTTAAACTTTTAAGACATGTGAACTTCAACTCCCAGAATTTCCAAATCAGCATTCTGGGGAATTCTAGGAGTTGAAACTCACACAGTTTAAAGTTGCCAAGGTTGAAAAACACTGCATTGAACACAATCCCTCCTGCAACGTGTTTCACAATCTAGCTCAAGAGAAGCAAATTTGAGTATGCTGGTTAAAAGAAAAAAGGGAGGGTTGTCAACTTTCAAGATTTGCTGAGCTAAAATAGTCCACTAGGACTACTGCAATGGTGACAAACTGGAATGTAGGCTTTTTCCTCTCCTCCTGTAATTGTTTGCTGACTTGCAAAGTGCTAGAAGTTTTTGGGGCAGAGGAGTAAACAGTAACCGGATGGCTTCAGTGCTCCGCTATCAGTTAGATAAGACAAAAGAGACACATGCTAAGTGGTGA